TCCATATTGCTTCTATTGCTGGTTTTAATATATTCGAACCTCAATCTTCTAAATTGTCTCTATTTTTTATCCATTTTTTTTTTTCATTTGCCTAGAGGTACTTGCAAATGCATTAGGCAAAAAAAATTCTTACTCACCATTTTGTAAAACTCTTCAAAACTCTAGGATACGCTACATAATCTACATAATAAAAGTAGTAATTTCAACAGAAAATCAAGATGCCACTCGATTTTGCCATGGATTTATAAAAATAACACATCAGACAACAGGTAAGTTTTTTTTTTAACTTATTTACCGTGATAATAATCCGTTATCAACTAGCTACTTCACAGGATATATTCTGTCTTTACATTGGAAAAAAACATACAATGAAACTCATTTTATAAAAAAAGAACCCACTTAATTCATACCTTTATATTTTCACAGAAGCATATGAGAAAAATTTGCTCGGTATCTACTCACTTCAGTTCAAACATTTGAAGAAATTATGAAAATTCCGATGAGTTTTAAAACTCTTGGCTTGCTCTGGTGTAGTGTAACCATGCATTGATCTATCATCACAGGTATGCTTTCATCAATTTCCCCTCAACCAATCAGATAGAAATTCATACCAATTTGCAAAATTGTTTTTCTTACTTTTTAAAGCTTAACACATATAAGATAATTTGGGAAAAATAGATTTTCTCATTTATCATTCTTTCAATCCATGATAATGTCAAATGGTATTTTAGAGTACCTTTATTGCTCTGACAAAGGATAAAAATTTTTGGTGTAAAATCGGTTAAATGAAGAAAGTATCCAAGTACAATTTTATTTATGTTGTGAAAAAAATGCTATCAATTTGAAAAGTTCAATTATTTCCAAATTGTTAAAATTTCACATGATTTTTTTGTATCTGGATCAAATAATTTTGGATCTCATTCATTCTCAAGGGATCATCCCTATCTCAGGGTTTCCATATTTGTTTCTTGTATAGTCTATTGTTTTGTTTTATTTTAGTTGATCAACCACTCATACAGTACAAGGTAAGTATTATGTTATCCCCATTTGCAGATGAAAAATCTCTGATACAGAGTGGGTAAACAATTTTTAAAATGTAAGCCCACCTTATTTTAGTAAGAGGACTTCCTATCCATCTTCTTACTTGCTCAAACCAGAATGTTGAAGAATCAACAAGTCAAAGTGTGAAAGTTGTGCCATAAGGTAAGAAAAAAATAAATAAATATGTGATGAAAATGAAAAAGGAAAGAAACAGCAGCAGCCAACAGTTTAAAACAGCAAAGAAATTTGTTGGGGGCCAAACATAAGAATTTTAAGATGAAATGTGGCAATAAAATGCAAATAAGAAATAACACAAATAAATTGTGAAAGCTTAAGGAAAAAAGAGGATAATGGAATGAAGGAAGCATAAAACTTTTCCTTGACCTCTATCATATAACTTGTATAATTCTGAAAAACCATTTCCTGTATTAATTTCCAAAATAGTGTAAAAAGATATCTGTGTTTCTGAAATTAAAAATGCTATTGATATTCATAATTTTTTATGATTTGTCAGGTGAGTAGTTTATTATGTTGGGAAGGCATCACTGTATGATGATTTAGAGGATGGGCTTTGTAGACTACTGGTAGCTCAAATCCTGGCTCTCCTATTTCCTATTATATCTGTGATCTTGGCAGTCGTGTGTTAGAGCCACCTCCTACTGGTTTATGATAGCTGATTGTGTGCATCTCTTCCCAACATTGTGCTCAGTGACATAATTGGTAGTTTGAAATCAGCCAAGATGAGATTATTTACACCTCTAAAATTGGCACCCTAAATCAGACAATCATGGTTTTATTCCCTATGTGCCAGCTTACCAGAACACCGCTGGACCTTGGACAAGTTTCCTAACCTTTATGAATCTAAAGGTTTTTTTTTTTCTTTTTTCATCTGAAACGGAAAATTAAATATGACAAGTTCACTTAAGATTCTGAAAACCTTTCATTGGATGATATATTTCATATGATTCCTGGTACATAGTAAACATCAATAATGGTAGCACTGTAGTATTATAACTCAATCTATTGTATATAGAACATAGAACAGTTTCACATTTCTAACATCCTAGAAAGCAATTCAAATAGTTCATCAAAATTCCAGGAGAGGAGGACTTGTAAAAATTAGTTTACTGACTTTATAGATGAAATGGTTTCTCCTAAATATTGTTAGATTTTTGTATAGAAGATAAACAGTTACTAATACTTGAATAGTAAATTTCTTCTGTATGATTAGTTTAGAAAAACTCCGTTTCCTACAGTGATATATATAAGCTTCTCTCTCTGTCTCTCTCTCTCTATATATATATGTATAATATAATATATATATTATATATATAGAGAAGCTCTCTCTCTGTCTCTCTCTCTCTCTATACACACACACACACACACACACACACACACACACACACACACACACACACATATATAGAGAGAGAGAAGCTTAAGGGCACTTCTTGAAGTTTTAACCCACTCCCCCGAATTAGATTAAATTCATGGCTTCAGTTCTTCAAAATTTCTTGATAAGTTAATATGAAGACTGATGCTAGCTGTATGCCCCACTGTTCAGAAAGCTCTCACAGAAAATTCTGAGCCGGAGGCCACTGTGTCTATCATGATGACAGACAGTATGTGTAACTTGAAACTTTAAAGGTAGGCACTGCAGGAAATAAATTTAAGGAAAGATTAAACAGTCTAGAGATAACACTGCTTAGTTGCCTACTTAAAAACTCTCATCTAGGTAGTCTTCAATGTGAATTATTCTTAAGATTGTTTTTTCATTTCTGGCCTTGGAATTTAATTATTTGTAATATTTTAAAATGTCATACATATGCATTTTCTGATACAGCTTATAAATTGTAAAGATCATGTTATAGTTAAAAATATTTTAAGAATCTAAGTAATTTTCTAGTAGAGAAAAAGAACTACTGAAGCTGAATTGAAATGTAAGTCCTTCATTACTTCAAAGACTTTATGGTAGGTTGTTTACAAAGATAATTGAAACAATTTCTTCTATCCCTATATGAACACATCTTTGCAATATGACTTTGCTGTTCCTCTCATCAAGAGCTAAACTTTATTTCCCTCCCCCTTCAATCTGGCTTTGCCAGCTGACTTGCTTTGGCCAATATGACACTAGCACACCCGATGAGAGCAGAGGTTTGACAAACACGTGCACATTAGGGCTTGCTGTCCTTGCTGCCCTGAGACCGCCATGTGAAAAAGCTTGAGCTAGCTGCTGGGAGGAGTGACCACATTGGGTGTACATGAACCATACCAGCTGAGGCTCCCTGGACCAAACACCAGACATATGAGCAAGGTCACTGTAGACCATTCAGCCCTAGATGACCTGTCTGCTAACTGGAGTACCAATTTATCACCCACAGACTCATGAGCAAAAATAAAATAAAAATTTTGTTTGGAACTGCGGATTGGCCGCCCGTGGACAAAATCCAGTCCACTAAATGATCTTGCGTATTGTCTAAGATTGCTTTCACACTACAGTGGCAGAGTTGACTAGTTACAACAGAGACCATATGGCCTGGAAAGACTAACATATTTACTTTCTTCCCCTTTTCAGAAAATGTTTGCTGATCTCTGTTTTAAGTCACTAAGATTTGAGGTGATTTGTTAAGCAGCAATAGATAAATGGCACAGAACTATTTTACAGAAGGGAATATGTCCCATTTTTTATTAAATGAATTAATTTCTATGCTTATAAAAAAATACAAGCCGCACCCCCTCTACCCCTCGCAGGGCCAGTAATCCCCTCTATGGCGAAAGCATAACGATTCAGTTTACATCCCTAAAGTACAGTTATGGAGATTGCTAGTTTTATACCACTATCTGTTTCTTCCCTTTTTCCACAATTGGAGCTGGTCATCCACCCAACCAGTCAGGGATTACATTTCTGAGCTTCTATGTCAATTATGTATGACCACAAGACTAGGTTTTCACTTCTAGATTATGAATGGAAATCATGCATGGATTTATTGGGCTTTCTCCATGCTCTTCTTCTCCTCCCCACTAACTGGAATCTATAGCAACCTGACTTACAATTCAGAGAATTAAAATGTCCCAGAGAAAGGAGGAGCACCAACGAGAGGAAGCTTGATCACTTAAAAACTATGTAGAGCAGGGATTCTCCCCAACTTAAAACACTGTGATGTTGAATCTTCCTTCAGTCACTGAATTATCAATGGATGCCATTTTCATAGCAGGCTACTCTTATCCTAACTAAAGTAATTTTTTTATACAATATACTTTGGCATCATAATGATTTAGTTGGTAAACTATTGGATCTTGGATCAAAAACTCTAGGGTACTTTGATAAACTTTGCCCCAGTTTTCTGAGTTGGCCGGAGGCTTGTTACTTAGTGTAACTGTGATTTTATTTTCCTAGATAAAAATATACAACTCCAGGTAGGCGAAACAGGAATTTCGAACACTGATCTTTCTAGTTGCTACTTCTCCCAAGTAGGAGGGCTGCAATAACCGGTGATTGCCCTAGGCATGTGTCATTTTAGTCCCAAGAAATGCTTATATACCAACATAGTGCCTTAGGGTAATGCAATGGGAAAATAATCAAGGTAAGTTTTTTGGCATTTGGACAGCCAGACATAGCTTTCCCATGAAAGGGCAAATATACTCCATTTTGAGACAATTAGAAGAAAATTGGGGAAGAAGAGTTTAGTTACATTCTGTATATACATTCAATGATGGCAGCCAATAAGTCTTAAACTTCAGTGTGTATGAATGGAATTTGTTAATCATGCAAATTTGAGGGCTCTCCCACGTCCCCCGGAGATTATACTTCAGTGGAACTAGAGTGGACCCTATAATCTCAAAGTTAAATACTACTTTAAGTGATTCTTTTTCTTTTTCTTTGAGACGGAGTGTCTGTCGCCCAGGCCGGAGTGCAGCGGCGCGATCTCAGCTCACTGCAATCTCCGCCTCCCGGGTTCAAGCGATTCTCCTGCCTCAACCTCCTGAGTAGCTGGGACTACAGGTGCGTGCCACCACGCCAGGCTAATTTTTTGTATTTTCAGTAGAGGCAGGGTTTCACTATGTTAGTCAGAATGGTGTTTATCTCCTGACCTCGTGATCCGCCCGCCTTGGCCTCCCAAAGTGTTGGGATTACAGGCCTGAGCTACCGTGCCTGGCCTAAGTGATTCTTAGTGATCCTTCTTTGAGAAACCACAGCCACAGCAGAAATTGAATTCAGATATTCAGATTCAGTTCTAGGAAATGCAGAAATCAAGATGTGGCAGCAAAATCCTGGTGCAAAAGACTTAACAGAGTTTCCAAATGAAAAGCTTCTAGATTTTAAAATATTAGTTTAGGAATGATTTTATTGAAAAATAAAGAAGTTCAAAACAAAATTGTGAAAATGAAATTGGCCCGTTTTGCCTGTGAACTCCCTGCTCAGCCTTCAGTATCCAATTTAAAAGTAACTTCCTCTGGAAGTTGTATTAGGTGTCACTGTTATGTGCTCTTATCATACTCCATAATTTCTGGTTCAGAGCAAATAGCACGTTGAGCTTAGATATCTAATTGCCTGCCTTCCCTGTTGAACTAAATACTCTGTAAGGAAAGAAAATGTGTCTTTCTTGCTCACCAAAATATCCCCAGAGCTTATTAGGTTGCCAGGAATACACCAGGTGTTCAACAAATATTTGTTGAAGGAATGAATCACTGAATGGGAAATAGCTAGTTGATTTTACCAGCATAGGAAATGGACATGAACAGTAATGAGACAAAGTGGAAACTGCCTAAAGGATGTGCTCATATCAAGCAGATGACTTAAGCAATGTAGACCCAGAGGTGTATTCAGAAGATAATGTTGGGCCATGTCCCCTTGTGGGCATTTTACTTTGAAGGAAAGAGAAGTGGTAGATTTTAGTGTAGGGACAAGGATTGGAAGGTAAGGTCTTTATTCAGACCAATCTTCCTGCAGGGACTATACACAGCTTTTGGGAAAGGGACTTTGAAACACTTTGATTTTCTTTTCAGTAATATAATTACGGTACTCATTCTTTTATGATGTTAAATATTCCTTTGGATAACACTGAGGAAGGGGTGCTTGTGAGAAACAGCGCTGTTGTTTAGATTTCCCAGCTATGGGGGAAATACTCTTCACAGGTATTAGAGCACAAGTGAAACATAATAACTAAAACAAAATTCATCTCTCCATGGTTATGTTTCCACAAGAAGTTGTTTAAATTTAAGTAAAATATTAATATATGCTATTTGTCTAACATAGAAAGAGAAAAAAAAATCAAGAACAATAACACATTAGAGAAGAAAATAGAAAAATCCTGTGAAAAAGGTCCAAATGCAGGCTGCAAAGAGAGGAAGCCAGTCCTAGCAAGCAGCTAACCAGCTAAATGACCTGAAAAAAAGTCTCTCAACCTCTATCTACCTGGATCTCATTAGTAAAATTAGGAGGCAGGATGAAATAATTTATAAGGTTGCTATTAGCTTTAAAATTTTTATGAGTTCAGAGCCTTTAAAAAACATGGTGTCTTCAGCAGAAAACACCACTGTGAATTTTTTTTCAATATTCCTTTTAACTATAATGGAAACAAGTTAAAAATAATAGGTCTAATGTTCACAAATCCATTAAATATTTACCGGTCACTCTCTTGATGACTATTTTGATTTAATACATGGTATATATAAATCATCAATATTTTCAAGTTCAAAAATGCACAGGCAGGAATTTTATGGCTTCTGTGATGGCTTTGAACTAAAGTGTAATTTGCCTCCTTGTTTGCGTAAGTGTTTGTATACTTATCATTTCTCAGTAAGCCTAAGAATGCAAGCACAATATTATATATGCATGCTAAGTGCTTAGTTTATCATTATGATTTTCCTCTTGAATTTCAAATTGTGTAATGCAGATAATTTAACTTTTCTAGGGTTCCCGTTTATTTTTAAAATGTTAGTGTCCAGGTAGCAACCAGAAAAAACAAACAAACAAACAAAAACAAACAAAAGCCTCTAAGCCATGTGGTATGCTAATACTGAAAATAAAATGAGTGTTGTTTCCCTTGAGGGAAATGTAATTAAAGATAAAGGGGAGATATGCATAGAATAATGACATTCACTATACCTAACTAATAAGATAATATTGTTTTAAAATTCTGTAAATTTTTCTTATTTTACTTAATTCTATGTCCCTGCTGGTATTTTTGCTTTTTTCATAAAAATTATCATTTATTTTTCTTAACTGCATATTGCCATCTTCATTTTTTAATTTTCTCAAATATTCATAGAACTGTTTTCTGTAGTAGATGCTGTACAGTAATTATTTGTTAATTGATTAACCTTTCCAATGCCACTTCCAACACCTACTTCTCATCCTCCGTGTAACAGATACTGTCAGTTACCTACTCTTAACAGCCTTTCCACTCCCAACCTCTGTGAATGGACAAGAGATGCAGTTGTGATCACTGAACATGAGGCAACATCTTCTAGGAAGACATTCTCATAGTCTTCAGACATAAGGAAGAGATATCTTTTCAGCCAATCTTTGAACAATCTTATATGAAGCTTACCTGAAGTTGCTGTAGCCATTTGGCAAGTCTGGGGAGACTAACACACACACTGAGGATAGCAGAAAATAAAGATAGAAACAGCCTAGGCTTTTGGTGAAATTCATGAGCTTCTGAATAATGAACCCCGTACCACCCTACCTCTATAAAAGAATTCTTAATATGTGAAATAATAAAATTTCTTTATTATTTAAGGCACTTTTAGTTGGGTCTTCTGTTTCTTGTAGCTGAAACTCATATACTCATCATTCTTTTATTTATAATCTCTCTGTGTATGAACTCTATATTCTTGTAGAGTCTGGCTAGTCCAAAGTCGTAGGAAAAATAACATACCAACACTGTTTCTTTTGAGCTAGAAGCTAGTCACGGATGTGAGCACTAACCCAAGCTTGTAATGATGATGACAACAGCTTACTATTATTGAGTGCTCACAATGAATGGAGAGGACATCGTGCTATGAATTTTACATATATTACTTTATTTGATCTTCACTACAGACCTCTAAATTGGGGAGTCACAATATCACTGTTGTTAAAATGCAGAAAATATGTCAGAGCAATAATAAAACTGCCATGGTCCCACAGATAGTAAGTGAATAAATTCAAGTCTGTTGGGAACAAACTAGTAATCACTATAGGTCTCTATAGTGGATAATTGAGATATAGACTATATACGGACATTTCGCTGTATGTAGCATTAAAATGAACAGAGTAGCAATTCATGTTCTCTAGGGTTATCACTTATATTGTCACTCTGTGTGCTGACTATACTAATGGTTTGCAGGTTGGGGACTGGGGTATGTAACAGTATACAGTATATATACATAGCATATGGTAATTCAAGGAAGAATATTTAAATGACATCAAGTAATGCTGGCATTCCTCTACACTGATACATTTTTAGCACATTTTCACTGGTAGTTTCAAAATTATAGTTACATTTCTGAACACAATTAAATAAAACATGCTGAATTTCCCTGGACATTACCATACAGCCCTTCCATATTGAAATAAATCATGTAGTAAAATTGGAAAGCAGCTCATTAAATTGAATCAATGTTTATGCTTTTTAAAATTATGGTTCTTTTGATGGAGAATCTAAGAGACTCAGTGTAGTATGATCTCTAGACCAAATTCAAGATCTGTAGTAAGTAAAGCTTGGTAGCAAAATTGGTAAAACTCATTTTTTTGTGAATAACTTTTTCAGTAGTTAATGGTATGCCTTGCTCTACTTACTAGACATATACTTTAAAATCAATTTTTAAATTTTACATATTATTTTATTTTATAATGTTTGATACATAAAAATAATATATGCAACTTACATAAAAGAAGCATGAAAATAAAATAGTCACTACCCCTCCAACCAGCTTATGAGGTAGATATTACCAATAGCACTGAGGCTGTATCTATACTTTTCTCCCAATCCCATCCCTCTGCCAACCCCAAAACAAAATTAGTATCACAGATGTTAGGTTTATTGTTCCTTTGCTTTTGGAAATAGTTTCTATTACAAATGTATTTATCTCTAGATTTTGCACTTCTTAGTTTGGTATCATAGTCAACGTGTTCTGCAACATGCTTTTCTCACTCAAGGTTGTGTTTCTTAGGTTCATCATGTTGTTGCACACAGCTGTAATGTGTTCATTTACATGGCTACATAATATTTCTCTGAGTGACTATACAACTTCTTTTCAGGTCATCAGTCAAATGATATTTTGGTTCATTCTAGGTTTTCGAAAATTGCTATTAGAAATATGTCGACAATGCGTTTAAATTATCTATATTTCCCAATTCCTTTCTGGTTAACATATCAACAATTAAAAGAAGTAAATTGAAGTCTCTTCCCGTGATTGAGAATTCGTTACTTTGTTACTGCTGTTTCAGTCATTTTTGCTGTATACATTTTGATGGTATTTTATCAGTTGCACACAAAATAATTATTAACTCTTTCTGGTAAATTTGTTTTATATAATTGGGTATTTATCCATCTTATTACTTACAGATTTTTATTCATTAAAATGTATTTTATCTCTATTTAATAGAACTACAGTAGTTTTAAAAAATTACTATTTGCCTGCTATATATATTTTCGTACTTCTTTCAAATTTTCCATAACCTTAGGTTTTAGTTGTCGTCATTTAGACTAGCCAATGTAAAATATATTTTCCCTGATAGTTAGCCTATCTTGCATAAGCTTCCCTGGAAAACAGACCTTGAGGCAAAAGTTCATGTGTTACAACTGTCTTGAGGATAGAATTTTAGAAAAGCAAGAGGAAAGGAAAGATTAAGTCTAAGGAGTATGTTCCTGATTTTTTTTTTCACAGCCTTGCATCACAGTTGATTGTTAATTGTTGCAGGAAGTCTCCAGAGAGGTTATATGAAACTATTATAAAAATAATAATCACAGGAAGGGATGGCAAACATTTATTTGCTGGTCCCCTCCATTTTCTCCCTTTTATTGGTTAAAGTCTATTCATTTAGCATTAATGTCACCATATTCTGGGTTGTATTAGCTCGCCCCTTCAGATACATTTTGGAGAAGTCAAAGCCTCCATGTGACCAATACAGCTAACGGGTAGATTCTATGTCCCTATGTCAGTAGATGCAGTGTGTGGAGGCTCCTAAATGTGTGGTGATGAAGGTGGCAGTACCAGTGGCAGTATCCAGGACATCGCAATTGTGGAAGGTGTGAGCCTCCGCTAGCGCCTCTCTAGCTCTACCAGAGAGGAAAGTGGCTGAGGTCTCGTGACGTAGGTGGTTTCAGGCAGAACTCAGGTAGCACGTAAACTGAGCCTAGTACGATCCATCTCTGCTTGCACTCACTTTCATCTGAGTACAAGTGCTCTCACTTTTTATCTGAGAGCTGAGGTGCAAGTCCAATCTTTTTTAGGAGGTAGCCAGTTGCAGCAAACCAAGAAACTTAAGAGTGTTAGCAAATCATAGTTACAGTCCGCACTACTGCAGCTGGTCTAGGGCTATAATTAAAGGATTTAAGGAAGAAAAAGTGCAGAGAGAGAGAGAAATTCAGAGAGAAGAGAAGATGGCATTATGTTAGGTTTCGAATATTTAAAACTTGTAAGGATTCAGAAGTTATATCATCTCTAGTTTTTTTCTTATTTTCATCCCCCCTCCCACTAACCAGATGTCAAACATTTTCTACTTATTATGGAATTGATCTTTTTAACATTTATCCCTTCATGAATACTTTTAGAATGAAAAATATATATTTTAACCTCGCCTAAATGCAGTGAGAATGGATTTGTTGTGTAATTTCTAAAACTGATTCTCTTATGGGCGGTACATCATGCAGCAAAATGCCAATTAGGTAATGAAGTTTCTCACAGTTCTACTCTGAAGAGGGTGTGAAGTGAAGCTACTGTAAAAAAATGTAAAAAATAAAGGAAAGGAAAAAGAAAAACAACCAGAAAGCTAATTGTTCCAGATTTCATATTTAATACAAGAATCACTTTGAAATGTTAATCAAAAAAAAGTTTTATGGACACAGCTTGATGAAATGGAATTCACTAGTAGAAGAGAGAATAGAAGCGTTTTAAATATATTTAAAAACAAGCTTAGTGGAAGGGGGTTGAGAATAGTATTGTATGTTATAAAGTTATGGGCATAAGTGGAAATTCTTGAACTTTGGGAAGGAACAAAAGGAATAGAGAAGCAAAGGAAAGGGACAAAGGAAGTGAAACCATTGGAGGACTTTGTGAAGAGTTCAGATGACACTATTCTGATAAACATTACAAGACTACCACAAAGACAAGGCATAGTGTTAAACAGGAACTTTAACAATCAGAACTTTCTTCCTTGGCAGAATATCTGAAAATATGTTAATTATTTTGATAATAGATGTATGCCCAGAAGAATGCCAGGAGAGCAATATCTAGGATGCCAGGAGAGTATATCTAGGATCAGTTTTTACCAATGTGGGATAAATGATTGGTGATACAAAAGTGACAGGACAATTAGGACAATTAGAAAAGCAGTGGCCATTCAACCAGTGGGGTTCTTCTCTGATTGCAGATTTTCTGCCTGCTTCACGGGCACCTTAGTTTTTCTTTTCTTCCAAGCAAAGGAGGGGCTCTGAGGGCAATTCCTGGGCTGGTGTTCTGGAAGAAAGCCCTAGTTATAGGGATAGAGTGAAAGTTACTCAGAGATGTTAGAATATAGAGTAGAGAAAGATTGGAAAGTCAAGAATGCAAAGGTAAGCTTGGAATCAAGTAAAAACAATATCAACACATCCATTTGACAGCTAAGATGCTGAAACTGGGACCAAGGCAACAGACCAGGAACCTGGACCCTAGCTGCAGAGGTTTTTGAGAGCATTCCTGCCCACTTCGCCTTGGAGGAAGTTCCCCTTAATGCTACAAGTAGCAGCCAGTTAAGATACTAACCAGCTCTTAAATTTGATTTTTTGTATGTGTCTTTTTTTCTTCCCTTATTGCAAAAAAGTAATTTTAATGGTTTTTCTTATCCATACATGCTGATAGCTCTCAAATCTAAAATAAGAGAAGAATTTAGGCAGGGCTTGGTGGCACACGCCTGAAATCCCAGCACAGTGAGAAGCTGAGGTGGGTGGATTGCTTGAGCCCAGGAGTTCAAGACCATCCTGGACAACATGGCACAACCCCGTCTCTACAAAAAGTACAAAAAATTAGCTGGGTGTGGTGGTGCGTGTCTGTGGTCCCAGCAACTTGCAAGGCTGAGGTGAGAGGATCACCTGAGCCCAGGGAGTTTCAGGCTGCAGTGAGCTGAGTTCATGCTACTGCTCCAGCCTGGGTGACAAAGCAAGACACTTAAAAAAAAAAAAAAATGACCTGGAGGAGATGATGCTTTGCTTTTTCTTTTCTTTTTTTTTTTTTTTGAGATAGAGTCTCACTCTGTCACCCAGGCTGGAGTGCAGTGGCGCGATCTTGGCTCACTGAAACCTCTGCCTCCCAGGTTCAAGTGATTCTCCTGCCTCAGCCTCCCAAGTAGTTGGGGCTACAGGTGTGTGCCACCATGCCTGGCTAATTTTTGTCTTTTTTAGTAGAAGCGGGGTTTCACCATGTTTGCTAGGCTGGCCTTGAACTCCCGACCTCAGGTGATCAGCCCACCTTGGCCTCCCAAAGTGTGGGATTACAGGTGTGAGACACCATGCCCGACCAGGTCATATTTTCATTTGGGCATCTGACAAGCAATTCAGAGGTAAATGCT